CCCGCCCTGCCCTGCCCCGCCACGCCCCGCCCCGCCACGCCGCGCGCAGGCAGTCGACGGGAGAGCCAGTCCCACGCCGCACGCCGCAGCCACCGCAGTTCCAGCCCGGTGCCGTCTCCGTCGGCTCGTCCCGTCCGTGTCGTCCCGTCCGGTCGCTACCGTCGCTACCGGCGCCTCGCCGCACCTCGCCGCGCCTCGCCCAGCCCGCCGCGCGCCCCACGACTGCCATGTGGTCCTCACTGCTGGCCGCCACCCTCGCCCTGGCGCTGGCCGCCTCGGCGCACGCGCAGAGTAAGTAGCAGACGGAGACCAGTGGACACCCGCTTGGCCAGCGCAGAGTATGACACCCACCGCTTTGTCTCTTGTCCGTAGAGAGTGAACGCTGGACACGTTCAGAAGGAATGAAACATGTCTGCTCTGCTCAAGGCTCTGCTTCCAGCCGCCCTCGTGCTGTTTGCTTTGCCGCTTTCCCCGCGTCGTGGGATGAGTCGGGTCCAGCAGCGCGGGGCCGGCCGGCCGGTCGGGCGCGCCCAGCGCAGCCCAGCGCCCTGGGGAAGTCCGCGCCGACGACTGGGGCGCTGGGCACGCTGGGATGCTGGCGTGGGCGACTGGCCCGACTGCAACCGGTTGAACCCAGCCTGGCCCGGGAAGAACCGGGCTGCGGCTCCCTTTGATTGTGACAACGGATCCGTGGAATTGTGCACGGTACCGGGTATACACTCGGACACTGCTCGCCTGGTAAACCAGTCGCGGGCGCTCCAGTGCTGAGGGTGGCTGCGCGGGCGGGCCGCTCTGCTCAGACTGCTGTAGGACGGCTAGCCTTCCGCGCCGCGTACGCTTTCCCTGACACACGCCGAGTGTATTTCAACGCATAAGGGCAATGAGCTATAAAGGCGCACAAAAAGAAATATCTGACAGCAGTCGCGGCGTCGCGGCGCGGAACTTCCAGTCATCACTTACTCAGAGAATTTTTTCCTCATATCAACGCTTTCTGGTTGGTACACTCTCCCGCGATAAAATGCGAGGCATACATAAGTTATAATTTTGTCCAGGGGCGCTGATAGGTCGACTTCCCACGCCCCCCCCCCCCCACTAAAAAAAACGGTGTCGACGCCCCTATGATTTTCTGTACGCATTTACGACAAAAAATGATTTAGATTATTGATAACTTATGACAGCACTAGACAAAACTACGCGATTTGCAAATGTTATAACACCGATCCACCGATAGTCACCAATACAAAAGTGTGATGGAAGTGTCACAATTTTCTTTACGGAAAACAAAAATGACTGCGGCTGGAGAGAAAACAAACAGTGTTTCCAAACGGGGCCCTTTGAATCAAGACTCCTGCTGAGCCAACGACAGCGAAGATGACCATACTGTCCCGACCCGGGGTGATCATCTGAGGAGAGACGATCCGTTTACCTCGCTCATCCGCGTGCGAGGAACATAGAACTTGGCACACTGCCTGCTGTCTACATTATGTAAGACCAAGTTTATCTAGAATCGGATATTCAAAGCTACATATACTACCGTAGACGGGGATGGGACGTTCTGTGTCCCTCGACGAAATTCGGCAAAATTGTGATAAACGTATGCCGAGATGCCTTACATTACGCGGGATGGTTTGAGCGCCTCTCTGTGTCTGCATCTCAGCAGCCCCAGCTGATGGCCGAGGTGGAGTGCTGTTAGGGCGGCCTCCGGGCCCGAGTCCGGCTCCTCCTATGTCAAGTGGTTCGGTCGACGGCCACGGCCTTCTGGTAGAAGTTTGACGTGGCTTTATGTCGTCGCATCACAAGAGTGGAGTGTGCTCACTGCTTGATGCCCCATTGTGCTTTTAACGTGAATGAGAAGAGTAGTTGGGGACACATTGAAGTGCTTGCCCAACGACAAGCACTGGCCCACTGCCTGACGGCACAGCTCGGGTTGCCTAACTTTGCCACGGGCGAACAGCCGTATCGAACAGACTCATTAGCTGATTACACACGACACCACGTTATCGCATTACCAGAGCCGGAGACACGGAGTGAGACTCACACCCGAAACCTGTTGTTTGTTCCTGACCTCCAACGGCGGGCCGCGGGCCGCGCGGGCGGGCGCCGCCGTGTTGGGGCTGGCCGTGGAGGCCCGCGGCCAGCGCAGCGGCCACCAGCCAAAACTGCTGAGAGGGGGACTCTCGAAACATTCATTTTCCGCCGTAAAGAAGTGGTTGCGGTGACGCCACGACCGAAAGCGCCTTGTATTACAATTTTAAGTTACAGTTTTGTCGAAAAACACATCTAATTGATGTTTGTTGCGCCAATATGACCTCTACATAACCTTTTCGCGTGCTAACATTCAGATGAACACCTGCAGGCTTCGGTGGAATGGAATGATTCGTTTCGATTTGATTTTAATATAACCGTCAGCCAGTGCAATGATCCGTCATATTTTTATTTTTTTCGGATGTCTATGCGGCCCCCTCAAGGATGTTCTCTTTCTTCCTTCTGTTTTCCCCCTTTGATTGGCTGGGCGGTGCAGGTTGCTGATCACTTTCCGATTCCTTGCAGCCTGCACGACACCCGACTCGATGTCCGGCACCTGCATCGTGATCCGCTCCTGCCCACCACTCTACAAGCTGCTGCAGGGGCCCAAGCCCCTCCCCAGGGACGTTGTCCAGTTCCTGCAAAAGTCCACCTGTGGTTTCCAGGGCCACAACCCCAAGGTAGGTCCGTCGACGAATGTCGTACAGTGCCACTTTCGTTGCCCCTCTCTTGCTGACGCCGGCTGCGCTGCAGGTGTGTTGTCCGGGCCTGGACCCCATCCAGACGCAGCAGCGGCCCACCCCGGCCACCCCGGCGCCTACCCAGTCGCCCTGGGGCAGGCCGCCGGTGACGAGGCCGCCGCCGAGCAGGCCGCCGCCGCAGCCGGTGGACGACAGGAACGACCGGCCGGTCAACGTCGAGAAGGAGCCCAACCTGCGCCTGCTGCCGCACAGCGTCTGCGGGCCCAGCTCCACCGACCGCATCATCAACGGCAACAAGACCAACGTGTACGAGTACCCCTGGATGGCGCGGCTCGGCTACCAGAACAGTACGTGTCCCTCCCCTCCCTCACGCTCGACCACCGACCGACCACCCCCGGCACGCTGGCTTGACTTACTTCTCTGGACTCATCGACAGAACCGGCAGCTGTTTTCAAAGTAACCCGCCATCTTTTCTCCGTTCATTTCCAGGCGAGGTTGTAGACACGAGAATATCTAAGGAGCTCAACGGCGAGGGTGTCATAGACCCGCGGTCAGGCTCAGGCAGGACAGAGTTTCTTTTGTCTGTGTTTTCTTGTGTTGGGGGCAGTAGGAATTACCTTACCGTTGGAATGTATTATGTAGATTGTTTGGGTAGTTTGATGTCATGAAGTAGTTTGGTTGTATTTGCACCCACAGAGGTAGATGTTTGCACTACACAGGGGATCCCACCGTGGACGCCGTTCTTTTTGTTTGCTTTTGCAGGGTGTTCTATGCTGGACTCTTTTTCTGGTTATACCGTAACGCACACAACGCACCATCCATCCAGTCGTGCCTGTGGGCTTGCCTACCGACTCTCACCACGGCGCCTTACCTTACGGCCTCGTGCGAGTATGCGTGCAACCCGTCCGCACGTCTGCGTCGGCGCCCGCGTAGAACACAAACCCTACACCCTGTGTCAGCCCTACGACAACCACAGAGTTGCGGATTTGCTTACTGCGGGCCTAGGGGGATCCTGGCTGGCGACTTCGGGTAGAGCGCGAAGGCAAACCCGCATTTTGCTGTGTCGTACCCCTGTCTGTAAAGGCCATACACCACAGTGTGGCGGGTTTGCCTACCCGATGTGCCAGTAAGGCGCCATAGCCCCTTGGGTATGCAAACCCACAACACTGGGGAGCTTCGGCCTTTACACTCGGTACTGTACCGAGGCGTTGGGGCAGGTTGCCTAATCGCACGGCACCCTAAGGACAGCGACGGTGGGCAACCCCACCCGCACGACTGCATGCGGTACAGTATAGATCAAAAAGTAAGGCGTCTACGGGACACGCTGTATAGGGGGTGGCCCACGGTCCCCGTAACATTTTGCATTAGTACTCGCAGTTCTGCTGTCCATCACTTGATGGTATGCGGACGGGTGTGCTTGTAGTCTCGAGAAAAAGTGCCTGTGGCCTAGAACGAGTAGTATGCAGCCATGCATCACATTGTCACTAGGCTACCGAATGTTCCGGGGTTCTTGGACCACCCTGTACTGACAGTGTAAAGTCCACACTGTATCTTACCCATCCTGCCTGCGATGTTGTCTGGTAGCATCTTGTTTGGAATTCAAGTATTGAGTGCCTGTCGTGGAGAGTAGCATGTTTTTGTCACGTGACGGCCCACGTGATTCGTGATTGTCATAACCAGCTTTTTGAATGGTGCGCGGCGAGCTGACCTGGCCTCTGGCCGGCAGAATCTCCCGTCGGTAGCCGAGTCGCCGAGTGCACCCGGGTCCGGGTACTAGTTTGACCTTTTGCAATGCGAACGAGCCCTCCTCACGACGAGGTGTCTCTTCCCCCAGCATGTCTGCACTCGTGTGTTTTGTTTTGAGTGGTCAGCAAGTACACGTGTAGTGCACGGCATGGAAAGAAAAGCATCACCGAAACGCACAGCAAACAACGGAATGTCTTTACGGTTCTAACCCGGATCTGTTAACTTCCTCAGGGAACGGCAACATCGCCTACCGGTGCGGTGGCTCCCTCATCAACTCTAGATACGTCCTGACCGCGGCTCACTGCGTAGAAGGCGGCAGGAGCACGGAGTCTCTGTAAGTGCAAACCAGGAGCACATCACTTTTTATCGATAAATTAAGTGACGTCGTTCATCGAATCCCCTCCATTTTATTTCAGGACGACTGTGCGTCTGGGTGAGAATGACATCCGCACCGAGATCGACTGTTCAATCATCTCGGGAACCGAGGTGTGCGCGCCACCCGCCATCGACGTGGGCGTGGATGAGGTCATCTCCCACCCCGACTTCAGCCTGCAAGGCGTCAACCGCCTGCAAAACGACGTCGCCTTGGTGCGCCTGGAGCGAAGAGTCATGTTCACCGGTGAGTCGCGCTTGCCCGTCGCAAGAGAGTGTGGGGCCTAATTTGAATTTGATCCATCATACCCTGTGCGCAGAGGCCGTGAAGCCCATCTGCTTGCCTGTCGGCAACGAGCAGTTTAAGGATCTGGACCGCAAGAAGGTGACCGTGGCAGGATGGGGAACAACCGAGAACGGTAAGTGCTGTATAGGGCAGCCCGAAGATGAGCATGAACCTGAAACTGAGCCTGTTGATGCGCCCGTGGCTGAATCTCTAGCTCCAGTAGGTGAGTCTTTGGCTGAGGTTGCTCTGAAAACCCAACAGCATGCATTGCATGCGTTATACAAAGCATGCATGGTATGCATGCTGTATTTAACGCATGCATTGAGATGCATGCTGTTTTTAACGCATGCATTGAGATGCATGCTGTATTTAATGCATGCATTGAGATGTGATGGGGCCCTGACGCATAGTTACTTCGTACGTTCAGTTTAGCGGTTTAAAAAAAAATATATATTTGAAGCGTTGGCATTCAAGTTGGGAACCCAATCACATGTAGGCTCGTTCGAACGGAAATTTCACAAGGAATCCGATGAGCTTATCAAAAATAAAACCGAAAAGCTCACTTAGTAAATATTCCACGAAAACGAGTTGTAGCAACAGCATGCATCTCAATGCATGCATTAAATACAGCATGCATCTCAATGCATGCGTTAAAAACAGCATGCATCTCAATGCATGCATTAAATACAGCATGCATCTCAATGCATGCGTTAAATACAGCATGCATCTCAATGCATGCGTTAAATACAGCATGCATACCATGCATGCTTTGTATAACGCATGCAATGCATGCTGTTGGGTTTTCAGAGTGTAACTCATCAGGTACTTATGAATGTGGCCTGCCTGAAGCTTTGGTCCACGGACTCGTCGATAGCTAAGCTTGCAGTTGAATTTTGAACTGAACAGCATGTCTGCGGGTCGCTCACGGTCTGGTTTGTTGTGCAGGCCACGGCAGCTCGTCGCTGCTGCAGGTGAACGTGCCCGTGGTGCCCGGCCAGCAGTGCGTCGACGTGTACAAGTCCGAGGTGCGCATCTCTCCGAGCAAGCAGCTGTGTGCGGGCGGCACTCGCGAGGGTGACTCCTGCCAAGGCGACAGCGGCGGGCCCCTCAAGTACGCCGGCATCGGCCACCAGACGGGAGACTTGCGCACCGTGCAGTTCGGCATCGTGTCCTTCGGGCCGAAGCGCTGCGGCTCCGAGGGTATGCCCGGAGTCTACACTAGGGTGGGGTATTACATGCAGTGGATCCTGAGGAACATGAGGCCGTGAAGCACCACCCTGCCGGCAAATGGGGGCTAGAGCTAAATGCAGGACAGGGCTGTGAAGTGAATCATTTTCCTTGTGTTAGTAATGTATTTGTGTGTTCTTGTGAGTAATTTTATTTTGTATTGTATGAGTGTGAGTGAATGAATGTGTGAGTGCGAGAGAGTTACCATTGTATGCTATAACTTATTTATTAGCTTTTTGTTTTTGATGGGATAGAAGATATGATAATTGTTCATGATTTCATCCAGTTGAAGTTTGTGTTTGTCGACTGAATGTGCGTGGTTTGTTCGGGCCATAAAAATGTGTGATAATTCAGGAAAGACACGATCTGGGTTTCAAACTCACTACATATAGTGTGCCATCTTTTAATAAGTTACTTTGGATATGTTAGATCTATTTATAAATCACTGATGATTTATGCATCGCCTTCTCATACTCTTCATCATTTGTTCATTTCATATTCCCCTTTTGCTTCCACCCATTTTCCCTTCTCTCCTAAATTTCAAGGTGGATCACTGTCGAAAACAAGCAAAATATTTATTGTAAAATTATGAATAATCTACTGCCAATTAGATTACAATGTGTCACAAGTGCATGTTTTAAAGCTAACGATCTTCTGTTGTTACTTATTATTACTGTTGTAAAACGCTCTGTAGCAAAGAATATAGTAATAAATTTGTAATCTTTTCTAAATTCATTGTTTTGTAGATGTGAGTATTTTTTGTGATAAAATTTAACTCAACAACGCAATCCAAGCTCACAAATACAGACCCCTCCTTCATTTTGCTTGTGCTGTGCCGCATGCAGTCGTGCGGGCGGGCTGCGTACTCACACGGTGCAACAAGGCGCACACAGTTACAGCCTTACGAAGCAAAATGACAAAGCCTTCGGAAGTACGAAACATCTTGCTTCATAAGGTTTTAACAGTGCAAGCCCACCCACCCGCACGCCTGCTTGGATGCAAACCAAAAAAGCAGGGGTCTATCGACCACCCTGTTTATTTCGCAAGAAGCTCGCCGGTACCAACCATCAACCTTCGCGCGGCTGGTCAAGCGCAGGCGCCTGGGACGTAGGCAGCCCATCGAGCGTGCGGCAGAGGCGGGGCAGCCTACCGCAGGCTCCGCAGGCGCGCGCCGCACGGCCACAGAGCCCTGGAGAGCGGAGCGGAGAGCTGCCCTGGCTACAAGGACTCTAGGAGTGCCGTTTTAGGCGCACGCTGGGCACTCGCGCTGTCCTTGCGGGGTGGCCGAGACAATGAAGGCACAGGGCGTGGCAGGGCGTGGCGGGGCGTGGCGGGTGGGGGCCCTTAGTGCAGTGGAATGTGCAGCATTGTCCGGCCGCCCCTCCCGCCCCGCCGCTCGACCGATGCAAGGTAGCACTCGGCCGCGGACGGGACAGGACGGTCACTTTGGTCAGCGACCAGTGGAGGTGGTGCGCGAGGCTTCCGGACCGCGTGTCGGCGTGGCTCGGCGTGTGGCTCGGCACGACGCCGCAGGACGTCACTCTGAACGCCTACCTCCCGCAGGAGCCTCATCTCATTTGCACCTTGTCACGCCGCCGAAGACGAAACAGTTCGCGAGGGCAGTGTGCTGCACTCCAATCGGAAGTACGCCTCCCAATTCAACCAGCAGTAGCGGGAGCATAATTCTACGCAGTCTCTGATTAATTAATTTTGGGGGGGGTCATGTCGTGGTAACCACCGTTGGCACTGCGCAGACAGTTGCCGTCTACAAGCGCCACTTTACTAAAAGCCTTATCAATTCGAAAAAAATGCCAAAAATTCACCTTTTGCACTGAATAAAAACAACAAACAATACAAAAGAAATTTTATCATTTTCTTTTCTAAATTCATAAACATTGCGCGATTGAAACTACGAGCGACCACCGCATCTACCTACACTACCTTACCCGAAGTTATCACGCTACCGACGCCCACTGCTGCTGACCCTTGAGTGCTCGAAATGAGTAAGACAATTTTTCATCTCCGAGTTTAAGCACTGAAAACCCAACAGCATGCATTACATGCTTTATATACAGCATGCATAGTGTGCACACTGTACCTACAGCATGCATTGAAATGTATGCTGTCCTACAAGTCGGTTTCGTGGAATATTAATTAAATGAGCTCTTCGGTTTTATTTTTGATGAGCCAATCGGATTCCTCGTGAAATTTCCGAATGGTTGATTCGGTACCTGCAAGTGGGTTGCAGTGGGTTTTAAAAAAATTCTATTCGAAGTGTTGGTATTTAATCTCGAGACCTCATCACACGAAGGCTCGATGGAACGGAAATTTCACGAGAAATCCGATAGGCTGATCGAAAATGAAACTGATGAGCTGACTTAGTTAATATGCCACGTGAGATTTTCATGACCTACCCACTTGTAGGGATGAATCTCACTCACCATAAGTTGTGACCCACGTGAGAGTGACAAAAATAATCTTCTCGCTTTTAGGGGAAATATCACGCGATGTTTTTGGGATCACTGTTTCCCCAACAATGCAGTTAGCAAGAATTGTGAAGTTTTTTGTTTGTTTTTTTCATTCGAAAGGACAGTTAAAGTGGTGCCGACCTCCCCCGGGCCGGCCGCCGCGCATGCGCTTCATAGCGCGCGTGTTATTCAAATGAGATCGAACCCATGGCAGTCGTGTCCCCAGCGTAATGATGCCCGCTCTAGAGCGACCTCGTACCGCCGGACACTCTGAGCTGACCGAGCCCGACTCGACCCAACCCCAGCGCACTGAAAATCCAAGTGTTCGAATGTTTTCACCTACCTGCAGTTGTGCGACATCTGTACACTTGCATTTCCAGTGCAGTGGACCGAGCGAGGAGAGAATGCAGGGGCTGAGAGAGCAGCAACAGCAGGCAGCGACAGCGTAGGCCACCCGCCCGGGAGCGGCGTGGCGGGGTTGCCTACCCGCCGTTGTTCAGGCGCCCTGTAAGCTCACCCAGTGCACCCTGCAGCCGGCGGCGGGCCGACCGGCCTGATCCGGTCCAGTGAAAGCGTCCCCGCGCCTTTTCAGTTCGACGAAAAGACATCCTTCTCCTTTATTTATTTTTTCGTCCCCGCCTCCATTTATTTATTTTTTTTATTTTATTGCGGTCTCATTGTCCGGCCCTGCGGGGCGGGGCGGGGTGAAGTGACACAGCGGGCAGCAGGTGGATTAACTCATTACAGCGTGGACCCGGCAGCGGCGGGCGGGAAAGTTGGGCCGCGTGGCGGGCATTGCTGAGCGTGGGGCTGCGATGCGCTGCTCCCCCATCATGGGACCCCCCCCCCCCTTACCCCCTCCCCCGACTCACTGCGCCGGCCGGACACGAAGGATGGCCGCCATATCCGTCTGGATTTATCGCCGGCGGGCGTCGATTTGAATTGAATCTTATCTGATGCAGGGCTCGTCTGTTCGGAGCCACGCCGAGCCGAGCAGAGCCGAGCCGGCCCCGTCCGCGGAAACAAATAGGGCCTCGACGTCCGCGGCGCGACACGCGCGCTCCAATGGAGATGGATGTGGCCGCGGCCCGGCCGAGGCCCGGCGACAAACACGCTGCGCCGCTCCACCAGTCCCGGACCGTCCCGGACCGTCCCGGGCAAAGCGCGGGGCACTTTTGCAAGGGTCGTTAATACCAGACCCGGGTCGAGTTGTAGTTGTTTTGTCGGACAGCAAACACTGGAAAAACAAAGGTAGAACTACACTGCAAGTCCAGGAGTCATTTTTGAACTCGCTCCTAGGAGAGCGACATAATGAATACGATTTCATGACTCCTCGGGGAGCGGTATCAATGTTTGTTTGAACACGAGGAAAAGTACAACTTTTTGTTATTAATTTTCAATTTGAAATGATTTGCTTGTTATTTAACGTCACTAAACTTTACCTCTGTTTGCTGCAAAGTGCTCTAACGTGAATTTCGAGGTCTATGTTACCCGAAATAGTCATAACTTACCTAGAACAGACTAACGTTTCCTTCGATTTTTTTCTTTTAAATAAAATAACTAAAAAAAACTTTCCAGAAAAGGGCAGGCTAAAAAGGAATGTGGGATGTCTAGGGCATTTTCAGAAGTCAATGGTTAATTGTTTACCGGTAAAATGAATATTTATCTGGTATGAGGAAGTTGCCCGATAAGAGGAACAAGAAGAAGGAAGCACTGAGGAGGTGGCGTGGCGTAGCGCCCTCCCTAAACAAAGCAGAACGCCGGCGACTATACTGTGTTTTGTCGCAAGTGGATGTGTGATCATGAATCAAGTTTTGTAGAATTCGTTAACAAAAATTGGGTCCATACCAGACCGGCGTGACAATCTTGTGTCAAAAAGTGCTTCTGCAAAGTTTGGCTTCGGAAAAGTAAGTTTATACAATTCTCTAAACCGTCCCGGTGTCGTTGTTTAGGTTAGTGTACGGACATATTGCATTTGTACTATTTCAACTTAATGATAATGACTCAACTGTCGTAATAAACTTTGGCATAGGTTGTACCAAGGTGCTCGATGCATAGGTAGGTCCGTTCTAAACTGTTTGAAATCTAACGACACGCATCCTAACCTCTGATAGACTGTCGTTTACCTTCTTCTTGTTCCTCTTATCGGACAACTTCCTCATAATATTATGATTCTACCCGGTAATTTCACCGCAACCCTAATTTTAACGATCAGGAAAGAAGAAGGTAAGATTAAAATGGCAGTCGGCCCGTGTAGATGGTTCGGCCGCCAATGTAAGTGAAGCAAAAATCTTTCTCCTCATCTTTTCTGATTCGGTTGACGAATAGTTCGTAAAGACTTTAAACCTACGTTTCCAACAGCTCGGTGACGAAGTCGCCTGACCTAGGGTGAGACGCACTTCAAGTACGGGCGCGGATCAGCTGACGGCCCCCGCGCGCCGGGCCGCGTTGGGCCGGGCGACGCCTCCACCCCCAGCCAGAGCCGCGCCGCACCGGGCTGGGGCAGCGGGCCGCCGGCTCAGCGAGTCCAGTCGGCTGCGAGTCGAGCCGGCCACGGGACGGCCGCACCGCGAGAGCAGAGCAGGAGTCGAGCCGGGGCCCCGCGCCGCACGCTCGCGCACGCCCGCGAGCCGCACGCCGGGCCGGGAATAAGTGCGGCAGTGACAGCCCCACCTGCCGTGTAGTGCAGGCTGCAGGACCCGGGAACCAAAACCTGGCAAAATCAACACCGCGGCAGTTCTACATTTGTGACGGTGCGCGCGCTTTCGCCCCCGCGCGCGCGCGGGAAGAGTGATGTGATGTGAGCGGTGTCGCGACCATGTGGATTACGTCAATCTTCGCCGCCACTGGAACGCACCCAACAGGAGCCGCGCCCTGAGCAGGTAATGAGAGAGCGCCATGGCAGCTCTGTGTCCACGAGCACGAGGCAGCGCCGGGCCTTGGCCCGGGCAGCGCGCCGGCCTGGTCGGGGGTGCCTGTTCAACGACTCCTCACCGCCGAAGAGTCAATAACAATCTTGGACACGCAGGCCGCAGGCCCGCCTTGCCACCAAATAGAGTAGCCATGCTACGCTTCGGTTCACCAGCAACTCTGCTCAGCTTCGTTCAGCAGGTGCCGGGCAACCACGCTCGCTTGATCGGCGGCCGAGGGGGAAACGACTGTTAAACTTTGTGTCAGCCGCGAGGGGTCGTCAACTTCGATATTCCTCCGTACACGGACTGATATTACCTCAAATATTACACCAATATTAGCCATGTTACTGGTAATATTACCTCGATATTACACATTTTTCTAGTATTATGACGTCACAGCTTGAAAATTGGCTCAATATTACCAATATTATTTGTAATATTCAATATTCCTCCGTACACGGCAAAGGAGAGTTGACGACCCCTCGGTCAGCCGTATTTCGGATTACCCTGATTACCTCTGGAGTAGCCCCCCGGAATAAGTTGCTTTTTCTCTGGGATTACCCCGGATTTTCCTAAAATTTCCGTGGATTACCCCCTAGATTACTTTGAATTTCCTTGGATTACACCTGCCGGATAACCTAACAGTTGTCAGCCGGATTACCTCGGTCGTTTCCCCTCGCCCGCGGCGTATCGTTATAGGCCTTCAGCGCTCACTATTAAATCCTTACTGGCAAATTAGTTAGTACGCTGAGAATCATTTGGTGGGCTTGAAATACAAACAATATCCTTTGTAATACAGAGCCTGGTATAGAGCAATTGCTTTGTATGACGTCCGTCATTCGCCGTTAGAAACTGTCGAGTTCTGAATGTGCAAGCTCTCCTAGCGCCTAATCGGTAGGCAACATCTTGCCTGCAGTGCATGAGTGTAGTGCGGAGTGGCCTACCTTGCGTCTCGCAGGCGCCCAGCTCCCGTGATTGCTTTAAGGCTTACAAAACATTTTCAAATGCGCGACATTTTCAAATGCTTTATAAGCTAAAATCAAATACTTCGCAACCTGCAAAGTAGAGGCTTTGCATTGTGAAGCTTCCAAATCATTTGTGAAGTCTAACCGATTCTAATCATTTGTTTTGTACTAACAAAGTATTTATTTGCAAGGTTTTAACTTTGCGGTCTAGGCGTCACTACACTGCAAAAAATTAGAGTCTGATACGGAACGATCTACAGCGTTACTGTAGATGCCGCTCTGAGCCACTGCACCTAGGGTTACAGAACGCGGAGTACAGTGTTGCTGTAGCACCGGAAAGCCCAGGTTTTACACGGTACAGTGTACGAAGACGGCTCCACTGTAGACAGTTTTGTCCGCTTTTGCCTGTACAGTGGTCCTGTACATTGCTCCCTGTACCAAATTTTAACCATTAAAACTACAGCGATGCTGTTATTCGAATAACAGACGTTTCTGGAAAATGAATTAGCCGCATTACCTGTCAAAATGTTTTGCAGTGTACTCTGAAATAAATTCCCAAGCTCCTAATTGGTTTTCGATAGAGCACGTTAGAGGAAACGCATGAACATGTTTTGGGAAAGGAAGGTATACCTCAACTACCATTTTTAGATTGGAGTCCTTCTAGTTCTAGGACCAAATTTAATGTAACGTTTTAGGTTCCTTCCTGGAAAAGAGGATTTTTCAACAAAACCTCATTTAGTTAGTTTTTTTTTTAAAGAGAAAGGGGGGGGGTCATTGCCGTTTCCATAGCAGAAGGGTAGGATAAAAAATGATGCAAAAATAATCGGGGAAAGAAATGAAAACATCTGCTTAAGAGAAAGAAGGGAGGTGGGGTTTGAAGATGGCGAGGAGAAGGCGTGGACGCGGATGAGCCCCTCCTTATCCTCGCCAGTAATCAAACCTAAAGGCAAAGCGGTGATCCCCCTTCTGCTCCCCCGCGCCGCGCCAGCCGCGCTAGTGTGCAGTGCTTGTTTAGCCGGGCTATGCATGATCGAGGGGGCTCAATGACGGGGACGGTTAAGATAAACAACTGAAGGAATGCACGTGAGAGCGCGCGCGGGTGTGTCTCGTCGCGGCCGGGCTGCCAAAAGGCTCCACAAACCATGTGTTCCAGAGCAGACGACGCAGTGTTCTTAAGAGTGCAAGCACTCCAAAAAATTATGACAGGAAAACTACAGATCGTCCTGCTAATTATTTTCCAGGAACTTCTGTTATTCGAATAACAGCATCGATGTAGTTTTAATGGTTAAGATTTGGCACAGGGAGCAATGTACAGGACCACTGTAAGGCAAAAGCGC